GCGAAGCGAAGAAGGGTGTTTGACAAGTTGGTGGTTCGCGACCCGCGTTATATCCCAGTTAACAGGGTACAAATGGCTTGCAGCCTCGGTTAAGCTGTTCCAAACCGTGGTGTGGTTCCACAGCGTGTGTGTTTTTTGGGTGGGAAAGGCTAGTTCCTTGGCTGTGAGGGTTCGGGGGTTGGTGGATTCAGGATCGGGGAATACCAAGAAGAATCCTGCACTTTTGGCAGAAACATCTTCTGATTGGTCCATCAGGTCGATTCATCCGGAGTGGGCATCAACGAACATTTGCACATCCCTTCGCCACCCATGTGCAGCGACCAGATCTGCCTTAAGTGGGGCAGTCAGTTTTCCGGCCAAAAGAGGCCCCTGGAGCTTTGGGTCGTAGGGTTCCCGTGTTGCTCCTCTTCCCCCAGTAGTGTCCTTTTACCCTGTTTTTGGGGGAGGGTTCCCCTACAAAAATAGACTGCAGAATAAAGTTGGTTCCTTTATTCTGACCTCTCTACTGGAGGACCTAGCCCTGGGTGGTGAAGGAAGGTCCAGTTTGGCCTTTGGTTGCAATTCCAGTTTATGGAGCTCTTTTGGAGGCCAGCCTTTGGAAGTTTGGCCATCTGATTTGAGTCGCGTGGATGGGAATCCCACTTTTTCAATGGCAACGACTGCGGTAAGACTTTGGGCCTACTGGATGGGCCCGTTCCATCGTCGCCGGGGACTCAAGTTGGGAATCGGTAGCACTGCGCACTGCTGGAGGCGTTTAGGGCCAGTAGATGCCTTGTCCGAAGACTCTAACATGGAATCCCGAACCGCTAAAGCTTGATTTCCCATGCTCCTCACCCGTCCTTTTCAGAAACCCCCCATGTTCCTGGGCCATCCGAGAGGGAGCCTTAGAATGGGGAGCTCCCCTTTTCCATCCCCCAAGGTTCTCAATTCACATTGGCATGGGCATGTACATATCCAAGAAAGGACTCCTTTGCTATACATGTGTGTTTCCCAAAGTTGTGGAACCCCCTTTGGTTGGTTTAAACGGAACCAATGCAGAAACACATACATCTTGTGGGTTCCCTATTTGGCTGCGAGTCAATTTATAAGGTCCGGAACAGGGTCCGGAACCCACATGCGATCCAGACCTCCGTTCCAGACCTCCGTTCCAGACCTTGCCTAGAAACATGATCCAGACCTTCCGTTCCAGACCTTGTTTATATATTTATGTCTAGTTTAGAGTATTTACGGTAAGGTGATTTGGGTAGGTTATTGACTCCCCCCTTTGTTTTGCCAAATGCTACGCGTTAACCCAGTCCTTCTTTAAGCGCTGGTTTCAGCACTGATTCGCGAATCAGCGCTGGTTTGACAAGGAAAAGTAGGGTTTTTGTGTCGGATCAGCGCTGATCCACTCGAGCAAGCGCTGAAACCTTCGAATAAGCGCCGGTTTCAGCACGGATTCGTCGAATCCACGCCAAGATGGCAAGGATCCAAGTTGACACTGATTCGACGAATCCTCGTCACGTGACAGGGCTTCGATGAGCCCTTGTTGGGTTGACACTGATTCGGCGGGTCAAACTGCAAACAAAAAACAGGAGCTTAAGCTTCCTTGGGCCTGCGAAGGGAATGCGTGATGAGTTAAATTTGACAATTTTGGAATGAGCAACATCAGTATTATTTTACATTAGCACGTGCGTGCTCTTGACCAATTGGCTGTGAGCATCCTGTAACTGATTCGTTTTGAAAAGAAGGCTGAGTTTGTGAGCACATGGACCATGAAAGGAGCTGCGGTGATGCAGGCGCACTTTGTCTATCGCGAGCGAGCTGCGCAGTCCTGCGCCCGGTCAATCCTGCTGCAAAAGTGGAACTTACGGAGCTGCCTCCTCTTCTTTTTTGTTTGCTTTTGCCACGAGCCCGCCAGGAAAAAGAGGTTGGGCTATTTTAGGCGGTCTCGCTTTCTCTTTCTCTTTCAGGCTCTCAAGAAGTTGTGCATCCTAACGTCAGTAGAGTATCCATCTTACCTCCATATATTTTCCTAATCCTTTCTCACATTAGGTGCCACAGGGTGGACAAGTTTATGCGCTAGACGCGGCAGAAAGTTTTGACTTCTGACAGCCGGAATCACGGCTTGTTGCGTCGGTTTGCTGTCCACTTAGGCCGCAGCCGTGAAGTGCGAAGGAGATGAAAAGGAAAGGAGCGCAGAGCTCCTCCTTGTGTTCCTAAAAGGAGAGAGAAAGAGAAAGAGAAAGAGAACGAAGAGAATAATACAGAAGAACAGCGGAAGAGGAAGAGAAAGAACACGAGCAAGACAAAAAGAAAGGTAGCGAGAAAAAGAAAGATAAAGAACAAAAGACAGAGAAAAAAGAGAAAAAGAGAAGGAGACAAAGAGAGAAAGAGAGAAAGAAAGAAAATACAAGAAAAGAAAGAAAGACAGAAAGAAAGACATAAAGACGGAAAGAAAGAAAGACAGACATAAAGAAAGAAAGCAAAGCAACAAAGACAGAAAGAAAGAAAGACAGAAAGACGGAAATAAAGAAAGAAGGAAAGAAAGAAATAATGAAAGAAAGAAAGACAGAAAGACAGACAGAAAGAAGTAAATGAAAGAAATAAAGAACTAATGACATAACGAAGGAACAAGGAGAACGACAGACAGACAAACAGACAGACAGACAGAAAGAAAGAAAGACAGAAGTAAAGAAAGAAACAAATACAGAACTAATGACATAACGAAAGCAAATGGCGAACGACAGACAGACAAACAGACAGACAGACAGACAGAAATAAAGAAAGAAAGAAAAATAAAGAAAGGGAAAGATAAATATATAATCATTTACAGAAAGAAAGACATAGCAAGGAATACATAAATCAATAAAGAAAGAAAGACACAATCAATGAGTAAAGAAATGAATGAATAAACAAGAAATGTTTGAATAAAGACATGAATAAATACAATAAAGAAAGAACGGAAGACACAGAGAACGAGAGAAATACCAAGACAAAGAGAAAGAGAGATACAAAGACGAAGATAAAGAGAAAACGAGAGAAAGATAAAGATAAATAGAGAGAGAGAGAGAGAGAAACAGAGAAGGGGAAAACAAGCCTGCTGCAAACTATCGTTCTTATAGTTTTGAAACGTCTGCCAACCGGCTTCGCCGGCTTCACGGGTGTACAAACTGTTCCCTTTCTTTTACTTTTGTCGTTGGTTGATGTTTGGTACTTGGACCAAGCCCTGGGACCCTCCCATTTCCCCAGCATTGCCCTGAGATTGCTTGCGGTGTCTCTCCTGTTTTTGTTCCTTCGCTTGATGTTGATTTTCTTTGTGCCTTTGCAGGCGTCACCTGGCCAACATGTTCTAGTTATGTTCAAAACACTGTTCATCACCTTTGCTTTCCCTTTTCTCATGGGAACTTTGTTATCTTCATTGCGTTTGCCTTCTTTGGGTTTGGTGGCGTGGAAATTTACGAAAACATGATGAACCAGAAAAAAAGGGCTGCTGGCTTTCAATTGGTCCCTTGGCCAGGGTGGATGGTGATGGAATTATGCCAGATAGTATGAACATATTTTTTGCAGGCGTCCCACTTAAAACATGATATGGGTCAAATTGTTTTTTGCAAAATTTGATCAACGATGCGTTGGATCAAAATTGATCAAACATGAATTGCTGGGAAGCACGTGGAATTGAGAGCGAACCCAAAAATGGAACGCTAACTAGTTTTCCCTGTGTGGTTGCGAGTTCTAGGGAAAATCATGTTGAGCCATCTTAATTGAAATCAAAACCCCTCGAAAAGAGGGTGTCAACCCCTCGAAAAGAGGGTGTCACCCACGAGTAACCGCGACTCCTTGGGAAGAGGGTGTCACTCTTGGCCCAAAACCCCTTGAGAAAAGGGTGCCATCCATGATAATTATTTTGTCGAAATACTTTAACACATAAAGACATGTAGTCACCAATTTGTCTGACAAAAGATTGGGCTGCAAAATGTTGAGACCACAGAAAGTTGTAGTCCAAATATGTTCCTTAATTGTATTGCATTTGTCAAAAGATGTTCAACTATCCCAAATTGTAATTACCAACTTATTTGTCAAGCATTTGGCCTGCAAATGCTTGAGGCCGCCGCACATGTGTAGTCCAAATATGTTCCTTAAATAACAAGTTGCTGTCAATTCTTTGGCCCGCAAATGTTTGAGGCCACAAGAGGCTATAACCCCGGATTGTCCCTTTCTCTATTTTTGAATTTGTTGGCCCACAAAAATGTGTAGTCACCAATCCCTTTTGTCATACATTTGGCCTGCAACATGTTGAGGTCACAGCGCATTGTAGTCCGGAAATGTTGCTTAACTATACTTTCAACATATGTTGGCCCATAAACATGTAGTCACATGTTTTGTCAAGTTGTTGGCCTGCTAACTTTTGAGGCCACAGTTGCAGTCCAACAAATGCTCAATGTCAAGCATTTGGCCTGCAAATGTTTGAGGCTGCCGTAAATGTGTAGTCCAAATATGTTCCTTAAATAGCAAGTTGCAGTCACCAATTTGTCTGTCAAATCTTTGGCCCGCAAATGTTTGAGGCCACAAGAGGCTATAACCCCGGATTGTCCCTTTCTCTAATTTGTTGGCCCGCAAACATGTGTAGTTACCAATCCCTTTTGTCATACATTTGGCCTGCAACATGTTGAGGTCACTGGACATTGTGGTCCGGAGATGTTCCTTAACCGTACTTTCGAAATATGTAGGCCTATAAACATGCAGTTACATGTTCTGTCACATATTTGGCCTGCAAACTTTTGAGGCCACAGGAAGTTGTAGTCCACAATTCTCAATTAACACACATGTAGCCACCATTGTGTTTTTGTTCAACTATGTGTCCTGCAACATTATGGGGCCACCCACACAAAAAAGTAAAACGGTTAGGGGCATCACCCGGGAATATGATTGTTAAATAGTTGTTAAATTTTAACATCCATTTAACATCATTTAACATCCAATTACCTTTAAAAGTAAATGACAATTGATGTTAAATGTTG